CTACCCTCTGCCTGCCCTGAGCCTCCTTCATCAGACACAGTTATAACTCATAAATGAAGGACTTTCCCTGCCAGGCATGGAGGACTGTACCCAAAGCCCAAAGGAAAATCAGTTTTGTCGATAGGATTGGTTCTCTGTGCAATTTGGGTTGAAAAATGAAGATAAGACTGGGCACTAGCAATAGAAGAAGGAAGCAGACACGCAAAGACTCCACAGCTCAGAAGAAGCTGGGCTGCTGAGGAAAGAAGAATACAGGAGAAGAGAAGAGAGGAGGGAGGGGAAGGGAAGGGGAGGGGGAGGGAGTGGGAGAGAAGAGTCCTCTTGGCCCTGCCCAGATATGCAGCCATTTCACTTGCTTCCTAAGCAGCCTGACTGACTCAGGTTCTCACAGCTGTAGGAGATCACTACGTGTTAGGCACCCATAGGAGTGGTTCAAAACTAACTCTCCTGGTCCTTGTTACTCTTCTGACTTCTGCCTCTACCCAAGTACTCTGACGGGAGGATGTAAGATTAGCGGGGCTGAGCAGCTTAACGTTTAAATCCCCTTTCAGGGAAGAGTTTGACACTCAGGTTTGCCTCCTTGGGCCAGAAGAAAGAGCCTACAGAGCTGAGGTAAAATAAAGCCACTTCCCTGAACACCATGCCTGCCCCTCTTAGCTGGCACCAGGCATTTTCTTCCTCATTCTTTTATGTGAGGTGCTGGGGGTGGGGAGAGAGCAGTGACTATTAGTATTACATATTTTTTTTTACCACACATTTTTTGAAAGGATTTTGAAAAATTCAGTTACACCCTCACCATTTTCACATTGACATCCAGAATTTTTCATCATAGTTTAAAGAGCTACAAAAGATATAATTTCTGGCAGACTGTAAATACTGACATTTACAAAATAAAACTATTCTTTTAAATGTAGCCAATAGAATCTAAAAAGCACAGCATTTAAAAAAGTACAGGAAGAGTTCTTTAACAATTGGGAATATACATTGTTCCTTTCACTCTTTAAACTTATAGACCATTCTACTTCCCGCATAGAATTTTATCCTAATGTAGTATATTTTGAAGCTTTAAAGTCTTTTGTTGTTCACCTATCCTGCTTCTCTGTAACTAAAATATGTTTGAGTTGTAATTTTAATTTCCCCCCAGAACTGCAAAAACATTTTAAAAAATTTCCTATGAGATCTAAGTCAAAGTTTTACTTCATATTGAAATATCATGATTGCTCTTGATATCAAACATTACAGAGATAGTTAAACTTCGACAATTATTAAATACAGAGCCAAATTTTAGAGAGTAGGGGTTTAGAATGTGAGTTATTTCTAGAATGAGAAAAATTAATGGCAGTGGGAGAGAGAACAAGGGTGTGCAAGCACATGAGTGCAGCAGTAAGTTCAGGATTTACAAACCATGTATTAATTGTTGTCAAATGATCTGCTTACAGGAGCGCGTACAGTGTTCTGCTGGGAACCAATCTATAGTGACAGGAAACCCACTGCGATTGCTTGAGCATGGGGTATGGAGACAGGAGGGGACAAGGGAGAAGTTCATGACCTCTGGTGGGTTTGTACATGTATCAGATCTCATTCACACTTTAAATATGAGAAGTTATCTGTATGTCAGCTCTATGCTGGTTTAAAATGAATGGAATTAACGTCCAAGAAACTGCCCAATGCTACCTTACCTCTTACAAGGTCCCTTTTACTTGCACTTGTACTGGTTATCTGTCAGAAATCAATAGGTAATTCCTCCTCCCTCTCTGCAGCGCTCAGTTCTGCCCCTGGACACTGTCCATGGTGAAAGTGGAGGCGGAGAGAACTTTGCTGAGAGCAGTACAGAGGCAGCAAGGATGAGCTCATCATCCGCACGCTTCCTCACCCCGATGCGAGCTGAGGCTCGCAGGTTTGTTGTGAGTGCGTGACGTGGAGGAAATACGCTTCTGCCACCTTTGTCGTTTCTCCTCGCTGTGCTTGCTTCGCCTTCCTGCAACTCGCCCTTGATCTTTTGAGTTTGGCAATCTTTTCACAGTAGTTAGGGAATGGAAGAGGCAAGATTATTAAACAATAACTGCCATCCTTCTTGCTCCCCATCCTATAATTCACGAGTTCTGAACTTTCCGTGGAGTCAGAGCACCCCGTTTGTGATGCCAGATTGCCCACTGTAGAAATATGGTATGAAGGGGACAGACGGGAACACTACCCTGAGCCTGTGCTAACTCGTTAGATGAGGTGTGGGCCTCTTCCCTGTTTTGGGCATCGAGGAGGTTATTACATCCCAAGACCGGCACAGTGGAAATGTTGTGGGATTTAAGAGATAGGAGAGACCAAATGGGAAACAGGAGGATTTTACTTTTAGATGTACACTGGCTCAGCTGATGAATCTAAAATGGATGAGCAGAAGGCAAAGGACAAGTTCCAGCTTTTATACCTTTGGTCAAGGGGGTTGGTCTTTGGCAGGAAACTTGCGGGTGGGCAGAAGGAGAACAAAAGCAGTTTGTTAAGCTGTGACAGTTTTGTATCTTGGTGGTCCTGCTCAGATATAACAGGATGTTATGGGAACAGGAGGTTATAAAAGTTTACTTAACGGGACAGAAGTGACCTGTTTGGTACTGCTAAGTGTGAGAAATGTGCCTGCTTTCCTGCTTTGTGCAGTGGGGGGCGGAGAACTTAAGTGGAGCCCTGGGGAAGAAGCAGCCATGACCTCTTGTCAGGGGGCCAGCTCGGATGGGAGCTGGGAAAGGCAGCTCCTGGAGTCCTTCAGTCTCTCACGTTCTTTTTTTTTTTTTTGTCTTTTCTTCCGGTACCAGGAATTGAACTCACGACCTTGCGCTTGCTAGGCAAGTGCTTTGCCGCTGAGCTAAATCCCCAACCCCAGTCTCTCACGTTCTTGCCTTCCCTGGATCCCAAGGACCCTGCCACAGAGGAATGACCCCAGGACTTTTGAATACAAGCCCCACTGTTTACCACCTGTGCGGTGTAGGAGGTGGGACAGTATTATCTACCTCATAAGGGTTTTGTGAAGAGTAAACTGATTACAGAACAGTAGCACAGCCTGGCCAATGCAAACACATGGATGTTGGAAAAACTTCTATCCTTGTTTGCATTGTGAAGGATTACCCAGAACCTACTGCTTCCTGGTTGGAGTTCAGGGCTCTGCACGCACCCAGTCCAGGCTCTAACCCAGCTCCTCTGCTCACCAGCTACGTGACCTTGGGCGGTTTGTTCCTCTTATGCAAAATGGAGCTAATAATAGAACCTATTCCGGGTTTGCTGTGAGGGCTGAAGCCTGGAAAGTGCTTAGAACAGTATCAGGCACAAGCAAGCACTTGAAATTATCATTGTTACTGAGCTAAGCACTGGGGGTAAAGGCTTCTTCCTGCAATCTGACTCACTGGTATGTCAAAGTAAATATGGAAAATAGGATCTGGAGCTTCATAAAAATTGCTTCATTGACAAAATTTCAAAATATGTCCTCGTTTCCTTTGGGGACCAAATGATACCCATCCAGTAAATTATGCATGAAACAGCTACACCACCACTAGGGAAAAATGAGTCTCCATAAAGGGCCTTTCCATTTCCCTGTACCCGAACTTGAGAATTTCCCTCCTTCCCTCTGTCTCCCACATTGTTCCCTTTCCACTCTGTAGAGCTAGAATTCAGAATTGAATACAATCTTAAAGAATTTTAATTGCTCCAGTGTTTTAACATAAGAATTAAAGGGTAAATACCAGGGCCTGTGTAGGCGGAGGGTATGTAGTTTATGAAAAAGGGTAGGAGGAGAGGCCAGCCTGATTTTCCCTCCTGTCACCTTCTCCATTCTAGCGAACCCCTGGCTCAGAGCTAACTCAGGTGCCGGTGGAGTCTCATGAGGCTGAGAAGGAATTAATCTGCGGACATATCAGGAACTAGCTAAAGGTCTTCATATTGTGAACTAAGTAACTCTCCATCTAAGTATCTTTTCTAAGAAAATCATTAGGAGCTAGGACAAAGAAAAATATACAACGATGTATTCCCTAGGCTATATCTCCTTGAGGACAACCTTATGTCCAACAATAGAATGTATTATTTTAAATTGTAGAAATTTCCCTTGTCATGGGAAAATATTCAGGATATCAATATTAACGACATAAGACAACAGTACAGCATGATATGTATTATATGCTGAAGGCTCTGAGAGGGTTACAAGAGGGCTGGAAAGGAAGTCGGCAAACAGTATCTGCCGGGCAGCCAAAGTTTTCCAGAGCATTTCATGTTCATCACTTTTTTCCATCATCACAGAAACCCATGGATAATGAATTTAGTCAGGAGTGGACACTGCAGTGAAAACCATGAGTACATTCGAGGAGGATGAGGCAAAGCAAAGTTGTTAAAGGCAAAATGAGGGTGATTATTACATGGATTGTTTTGGAACCATTGTTTTTGGCTATGAGGATTGCTGAGAAAAGAGCCACCAGTCCAAGGTTGGACAAGCAGTTACTGGACAAACATCTTTGTGTAAGTGTCAATTTGCGGTAGAGGTTTTATTTATCTCTGTGTGTGTGTTTTGTTGCGGTGCTGGATCAAGCCCAGGTCCTTCTGTGTGCTAGTAAAGTGCTTAATCACTGAGTTGCACCCCCAGTCTCCCTGGCAAAGTCCTCCGTGTTCTTATCAGGCAATTGTCCAAGACAGCCCTCTCTCTAGCCTACCTTGCTCCGTTTGTGGGGTTTGCCAGTGACTCCATTTTGATCTGACAACCTTCACATGAGGTAAATGTGATTATCCCCTTTCTTGATTTTAATTGGCATTATTTTATTTTGAGTGGACAAGAACACGAGGTCTCCAAAAGAAGTAAGAGTTTCAAGCCTCAGGGCTTGCTGGTGGAGAAGCTGGATTGGCCTGGGCTCCTCTGTTTCCAAGCTCTTGTTTTCCCACCAGTTTGCTGCCTGAACGCTCAGGAAGCTTTGGCTCCACTTCTCTTGCCATTTGGAGTTTGATTAAAAACAAAATACGGACCACGTTATCACAAGTGCTTCCAATACACATTTATTGCAAAACCACAAGCACGACAACCATGATGTCACCGCCACATTTCCTAACCGAACAGGAGATCACCATCCTGAAGTGCATTTTCCAAAGAAATGGAGGCTCGCCTGGAAGCCCCGCTCTGTGGGTGATGACGAGAACCCTATTCTGAACTGGGAGTTCTAAACCATTAAGCATTTAATTACCACTTTGGCAAAGCAATGCACATTACCATTTCCACAGTGTAACAGCACAGAGATTTTAAATGCATCTTTATTTTTCAGAATCTTCAGTATTCACAATGTGTAAAATGAAGTGGCGTTTAAAATAAAATGCGATGCCAAAACACAGTTTCTTCAAAGTCCCGATTGAAAGGAAGAAAAATTGCACATGGATAATATTTATCAGTGCTTACAGTTGACATTAACCATAGTTCCCTAGAAGGATAAAAATACTCAAGACTTTAACATTTCTTTACAAAAGTATACTTGGCCATAAAATAAAAATCTATAAAACCCCAAATATTACAAAAGTAAAATGCAAAAAAAATTTTATTAAAGTGTAGTACAATTTTTACATGGTTAAGAATTATTTAAAAACACACAGGACACTTTGGAAGCTGTGATGTGCTGCAAGGGGAAACTGTCACCCAGCCAGGGCCCCCAGCACCAAGTTTCCATGGGGGCAGTGTTTGAGCTCCCCCTGCGCTTATTCTTGCTGTATCATCTCTGCTGGAAGAAGAAAGTCCTCCTGGGAACGTGGGTGTCACAAGAGGGGCAGCCCTTGCCTTCAAGGCACCCGTGGAGAACCTGCATCTTGGTGTGGCCATGTTGACGTCAGGTCTTGGTGCTGAGGGGAATCTTCAGAGCTGGCCCCCACCCTCTGAGACAGTCCCGGCCCTCTCCTACAGGCAGAGGCTCTGCTGCAGCTTGCTGGAGTAAGATTTCACAGTGGTGGTCAGAGTTCCACTGCGCTCACCTCAGCCAAAAGCCATCACCAGGACAGACAGGGATTCCGGCAGGAGACTCCCTTCCTTCAAGCCGGAAGGCAGTTAGAGCCTGAGTGCCGCTTGAGGCTGCCAGAGGAAATGGGAGTGGGAGGGCAGTCTGGAAAGGGAGTCAAGACCCAAGGGAGGCCCAAGGGATGCGTGGGTTGCGCGGCAGGTAGGGGGAGCCCTTTGGGCACACTGGGCCCCCACGGTGGAGAGTGGCGATGGCAGGACTGAGGCAGGCTCCCTGCCTGCTGCTGCCTCTGCTGCTTCTGCAGCCATCCCTCCTCCGCCTCTTCCTCCCAGCTGGCACCCGGTTTTGCCTGCCTTCCTGCTCCCACTGCAGTGTCCTGTGGGGCTGTGATAGCCAGGTATCTAGTGATGTAAGACAGGTCAAATACCCCATGGCTTGAGAACAGAGCAGGAACAATAAAGAGCTCGGGCTCTGGGGTAGTGATTTGGGGCAGATGGGCTTTCTGGCTTGCTTCTGGATGTGTGGCTAGGAGGCGGGAAGCAGATGGAAAAGTCTGGTGGAGCAAGAAGTGCTAACTTCCCTTGGTGCTATCCTCCTTGGGCTACCCGGGGTTTGTCTACATCCAAGAATTGGTACAAAAAGTCATTATTCTGGCAGAGTGGGGCAGTGCTGGATGTGGTGCACACTGCTCAGAGCAGAATGGGACTCCACTGCGTCAGTCTGGGGATCTAGGAGGACAGGGTCCGCAGATGGCTGGTTCTACCTTCCTCCATCCCCACCTGTCTGGAAGCCAGCTGCTCATGTTTAAGTGAGGGAAGGAAGTGTGAAATGTGGAGGCTGTTCCCCACTGTCAGCCTCCCCTCTTCCTGCTGGGGTCTTTTGCCCTAGTTTGTTTTGCTCCTCTTGTCTCCCTTTTTTTTTTTTTGGTTTTTCTCCGGTACCGGGAACCGAACTCAAGACCTTGCGTTTGCCAGGCAGGCGCTTTGCCGCTGAGCTAAATCCCCAGCCCCTCCCCTGTGTTTCTTGATGCTCCCATTCTTTGAAAGCAAGAACTTCTAAGTACTAAGGGGAGTGGCTCTGGAACAGACAGCAGAGGGAGGCTGTGGAATCTCCATCCCTTGAGAGCTGAGAAAACAGTTGGCCAGACAGAGACACACTGCAGGGAGGGTGTGCTTGCAGGCAGGAGCCTGGGCCAGATGACTCAGTTGGAAGAAGCCAATTCCTGGTTCTGCTTTCCAGAGCCTGCTTCCACCACAACTCCACACTTCCAAGATTCCTCCTCCAATTCAGCTCAGCAGACATTTTAACAGCAAGTCTAGAGGGTTGGCTTATGGTTTATTTATGCTTAACAGTGCTGGGGGTTGAACCCAAGGACTTGCATATGCTAAGCACATGCTCTACCACTAAGCTGCATCCCCAGCCTTTAGGGCCTGCATTATGGTTCAATAAGTCTTCTAGTGTGGTCTCCCAGATCTCCTTTCATGGTCCCTTTCCTCCCCCTTGGTAGGAGGCTCATCTCTTGGCGTAATCCCATGCCTGAACGAACACTGGCACATCCGAAATCTTTGGAAGCTTGTTAGATTTCCCTAAAAACCTCTCCACTTATTTTCAAGCCATCAAAACAGATTTTTCTGCCTTTCCTTTCAAAGACTGTCCACGGTTATTTTTACTCTTGCAAAAGTCACATATAACTATACACTGATCAGGGACAACCATGGATGTTTAATGGCTCAAGGAAATAGGATTTAGAATATATTTTCCCAAGAGAGTAAGATCCCATACAGAAACGGAGACAGCTGTAGAGATGAGCTACAAAGCTTCCAAGAACCCTTTGGGGGAGGTTGTTGGCTTTGAATTATAGGTTTTCTTTTATGAATAGGCTCATTGGAATGCAAATCTGAGGGCAAGAATCTGTCTTGTTTCTGCAGTCTGTGTCTAGCCCAGCAGCCAACATCCAACAGGAGCCCAGAAGATGCTGATGGAATTATTGGATAGATCCCTCCATCTTGGTTCTTTCCCTTCTTCTTTTAAGAATCTTTATATAATCTGCTCCTTCCAGCATTTAATATTGGCTAAGATAAAAGCCATGCCTGACTTAAGTGTGTTTCATTATGTTCAAATGGTATTATGAAGTAGAAGGAAAAAGATAATAGTCTGCTTTAAGAGGAAAGGAACAGTTCATGTAAGAAATATTGAAGTTTAAAAAAAAAGATACATCTCAGGACCTATCTAACAAAGAACTCACTGGTAAAGGGATACTGACAAGAGGAGAGCAGGTAAGGGAGTCAGCTCCAGCTCCCCAGTGTAATCTTTCTCCTGTCAGATGGGAAGGTCAAGCCCAGGCAGCAGAACAGAGTCCTGCGCCCGGGAGTCTGCATGAAGCTTGAGTGAAATGAGGACAAATAGGGAGAGGCTTCTCTATCCTGAGACAGGGGGTGGGGAAACATCAGGACTAACATGTCAGTGGATTTTTCCTTCCCTGAAAAGGGCAAACGCAATTACAAAAGAGGAGGGGAAGAGTTGGGAGTTAAGATTCTTCTGGACATGGGCCAAGGATCCTAGGGCGCAGGTCCTGAGAACAGCAAGGTATGGAGCAAGGGCCAGCTCCAACGGAGACATTTGCATTACCTCCAACACGATTCTGTCAGCAATAACTTCTGGGCAGGAAGAGCAGTGCAGGGTGAACTACTGAAGTCAGGGGAGGACTGAGAAGAAACTGCCTGCCATGGATATACACTTCCAGCTCTAGCAGGATTCCACTGGGCAGGGCCTATTGTGCCCCTGCCGAGGGAAGTGGCATCAGTTAGCTCTCACGCTTTGTCTGAGTCACTGAACTAACCTGAAATAAGTAGGTACGTGTGTAGGCCATGACAGTGATTTTGTTTGGGACTTGTGCACACAACTGAGGAGGCGGATGACAAACATTTCTGTTGTGGAAGGAAGTCAATTTGGAATTGGACATGTGTAGTAATTAAAATCTTCTACAGAAATTAAACCTTCTGGGGGGCATTCTTTGGATTTCACCATGCTTAGCAGGCAGGACAAACCTAAGATGTGTCAGGTGTGGCTTGATCATGTTCACTCTCAGGCAGGGACCTGAGGGGTCCTACAATCTCCAGCACCCGAAGAAGGCCCTCTCTATCTGGCTGCTGAGGCCTCAAATTCATCATTAGAAATGGTTCCTTTTGGTGTTGAGTACCTATTCTTCAGTAAAATTAAAATTTTTATTGGAAAGAAGACTCACAAAGCCTTAGGGATATGTGTATCTCAGCATGTACGCAGTTGTTAAATTCTGTCTTAGAGGAAGCTAGAAGCGCCAACATCCCCGACTTCCCAAAGGAAAGATAAGCCAGTTCCCCAGCAACAGAGTAACAGTGAGGTTTGGGATTCCTTCTGCCAAAATTGATTCTATGCCCCGAGACAGAGCCAGGTCCTATTTGTGATGGAAATTTCAGTGGAACAGAATATGCTTTTCTTGAAATCAATTATGGCTAATGATGATATGAGAAAACAGGTGGGCTTGGGCTATGCATGATTAAGTATTTGCGAAACTGTCATGATTTCTTCTAATTGTTAGTTTAGGAGAGGATTTTTTTTTTAAATTTTTCTAAAAGATCCCAGAGGGTAGAAACATCTTTTGTTTTTCTGATTATCTTTCACAGGTATACACTGTGCACATAAAATTACTCTGTATCCAGAATAAAAACATAAATGAACAAAGGAATAAGCGGACATGATATCAGCCTGCCTGAGACCTTAACACAACCAACAGGGCCTTGTGGAAGGTCCAGGTTTAGGGAAAGGATAACATTTAAGCTGGGAGTATTGGTAAAAAGACATTGCACCTGTAAGTTTTTCTACTTTCTGTTGTGTAAGACTAATAGGTAGATCGGAGAACTGTAAAATTTTTCAACTAAAAGGAACATCTACTCCAACTTGCTCATTTAGAGGTGAGGGGGCAGAAGTCCAGGGAGGAGGGGGTCACTTACTCAGGCCTCTTCCACGCTGGGCTGCTCTTTGGGCTTGTTTCTCTCTGACTGCATGTGTGCCTGCATCAGAGGCACAGGGAAGCTGTGTGTGCTGACACCTGTGTACAGACCATACCTTGACATGCTGTAACTCTGCTCTCAGTAAGATGTCTGCACAGCTCTGCAGAAAGAATGTGGCCATGTAGAAACTGACATCGTTGCAAAGCAACTTATAATACTTTAGTGTCACAACTAGAGACGTAAGTTCAAGGATCAGCCTTACTATCTGACCTGTCAGTTTGATTTCTACAGCTGCAAACCCAAGGCACCTCACAATGAATCAAACAGGTATCTGATTTGGTCTGACTCCAGTGAACAAATGCTGCATTCCCACCTGGCTCCCAGAATGCTATCTCAATATCAGATGACAGATTGTTCTCTGAATGCATTTGATAAATTTAATAAACTTCACATTTCATATATAAAGTCCTTTGGGAAAATAAACAGCATCTGCAGCTTATCTCCTACCACAGACACAGAAAAAGCCATTCCTTCTTGTTGAAAGTGCACGCAGCATAATTTTTCATGTGTTCACGGACACACGAGGGCTCACACGAGGGGGGCTACTCCACAAATGGAACATGGAAGTGCTCGGGAGCTCGTCAGTCCTACAGACTGCAGGTGTTTCGCCACTGGAAATCATTTTCTAACACTGAATAAGCATGGACTGGAATTCCTGAACTGGAAGAAACCTAAGCGAACATCATTGTTCACTCACTCATTTTAGAAATGTGCATAAATGAGAAATGATGTGACTTGCTCAAGGTCAAACAACTGAAGTCACCAGCCTGGGATAAGAGCCAGGCCCTGGGGGTCCTAAGCCAGTGCGCGCTCTCCATGCCCTCTCTGGTCTAGTCCATGAGGAATCCTCGTGGCCAGCTCTCTTCTCCATTGCTGGAAACTCACACAAGCTGGCCGCCACACAGCTTGCTCCCAAGCATGGTCAGAAACAGGAAGAAATAGGCAGGAAGGAGAAGGCTGGATAGACAGGAGGACAGGAAGGGAAGAAGTGACCAAATGAAGCTGGGCTCTTGTTCTGCTATGGCTTATCAGTTCTGCCAATTGCTTGAAAGGTAGGACAGCTAAGGAGGTTGACCAGGAAAATAGTAAGAATTAGTAGAGTCTCCATGAGATTTTATTTTTAAACCATGGAATGGCATGACTTTTCTGCTGTTACCTTTCTGTGTTCTACAATACTGCGCACCTCTGTAGAGATGGGGAAGCTAAAAAAGCTCTGTCAAGAAAATCTATATGGATTTTGGGGGTGGGTCATTCATTTTCTTCTCTCACTGTGCAGAAACTGTAGTTGGTATAGACACAGGAACTAAGCTTCCAATAAGAAAGCAGAATAGTGCACGTTGGAGTTCACTTTTAGACATCAGACTGTGATGGAGCTTGATGCTATATAGTTGGTTCTATGAAATCTCTATACTAACCACTGCTCCATTTGATAGAGATGGAGACAAAACATTGTCCAGGAAACAGTTTCTTAGATGACTCCATTTAAAATGATCTCTAAGTTTTTATACATATCTATATAAATGTATAGACAAGAGAGATTAGGTTTTTATATGTATCTATGTAAATGTATGGACAGGGTAGGAATATTTTTATACATATCTTTTGTATGTATATTTTATACATACATATAGATATGTATATTTTTATACATGTCTATATAAATCTATACACAAGAGATAGGTTTTTATACATATCTATGTAAATGTATGGACAGTATGACTCCTTCCAGAAAAGAGGGTTAGCCTGCACGTGTTTATGTGGAGGGGGACTTCATTCTGTAGTTGGTCCTGGGCAATTCTGTAGTGGTTATACTTTCATGTACTTTTTGTATGATTTTTAAAACTTGAAAAGTGAAAGAAAATTTACTTCAAAAGAATTATTTTTGGCTAGTATATTGGTCACTTATGGAAAGAAGACTGAACTGGGAGTGTAAGGACATGCGAAAACCCGGCTGTGTCATAACTCAAGGTCGAATTTTTATCTATTTGTAAAATGAGGTGGTTGGATTAGATCATTTCTTTCATTCTATAATCCTTTTGAGTAAAAGGGAGGAAAGCCAATCTAAATAAAATACTGTACTGTAGTGCTTTAAAAAATATCACTTTCTACCACTGAGGTAAACGGAGTGTCTCTAAGTTACTCGCATTTTATTCAAGATTGCAGAAGCCTCCAGTATAAATTAGAAGACCCAGCAGGAAACCTTAAGTGTAACACAGTATTTGAGTTCATTTTCCAACAACCTCTTGGAGTCCCAAGCCTCCCAATACACCAAGTTCAGCATGCTTAGAGCTAAGAAGTTTGATGTCCTCCTACCATCAAAGTTGTTGAAATCAACTCCATGCTTTGTTTTGCTTTCTAGCTATGCTTTTAAAATTTTAAATTAAACCTTGCTGAATGAAGAGAAAAGCTGGGTTAACTCATGTTCTTTTTTGAGAATAGGCTGAAATGAAAAGCTATTGTTTGAGGCCAGCAGGTAATAAGATAACAAGTGAAGGACCACATAAAGCAATTAGCTCATATTTTAAGAATGGAATGAATAATAATTGTACACTGTTAAAGATCTTTGAAATTCCCATTTTAGGGCAATGTTCTAATTTGGAAAGCCCAGATGTGAGGACTATTTAATCTTTTCCCCGGATTTACTTAGGTTCTGTTCATGCCAGCATCCTGTCCAGGAGAGGGAGGCCCAAGTGTGTAGCCCTGCTTACCCCTCGGGATGAGACTGAGCTTTCTCCTGGGATCCCAGGGAGGGGCCCTGGGAGAAACCTGGTCAGGGACTCTCCAGCAGGAGCTGAGTTCGGATTCCTGCAAGAGTTGAAGCTGAGAGTTGGCACACAATGAGGACAAGCCAGAGCCTTGGGAAACTGCATGGCAAAATGAGGCTGGTGCTGTTTCAGACCTGATGTCAGCTGGTGAGCAGCAGTCACCACTACTGAGACAAGGGAACCCAGTGCATGCTCTTAAACCTGCACTCCAAACCCTACTGTCTGCTCTAGGATGGTCCAGTGCTGTCTCCTGAGTACTGCTTATCTTTCCTAGAGAATAGCAAACCATTTGATGGGATAAAAATGAATTTTATCTTGTTCCCTTCTGTATGATAATTCCAAATTAAAGTGGAAGTGTATTTTCCCCTATATTTATAAAACAGGCCTAATCACATGTTCTTACACTACATTTCCTCCTTACTGTCATGTATTTTCATATTACAGCTTTCATATATTTATTTTTTGTGGTGCTCGGGAATGAACTCAGGGCCTTGTGCATGCTGGGTAAGCATTGTATTACTGAGCAACACCCAGAGCCACCTATGACAGCTTTCGCACTTGCGTGGTAATGTGCTATGATCATGGCAATGCCTATACTTCCTAGTTCAGGGACAAATGTGAAATTAACGTGACTTTTAACATTAATTGAAAGCAAATTTTATATGCATTTTTATTTGATCTGGAATTTAAAATGAAGCATGTATTCGGCAGGCTACAAGATGAATCCCTGGATTTTTGTGAAAATAAGAGTAAAAAAAACTAATTAAAAGATAAGTAGATGGGGATTTAATCTCTTCAACTTAAAATCCCTTAGCTTGGCTCCCTCATTGGAAGGACTTCATAAAAACAAGCTATAAACATTCTCAGTAATTAAATATGAATATATGATCCATGATAAAACCTGGCCCTTAGGCCATATATGTTTAAATATACAAAATTAAATGCATACTCGAGTCCCTCTTGTTGTTTTATTAGCTCCATCTTCCAGTGAAATGCATTTGTATAATTATCTTGTTCCTATACTTCCACCATGGATCATATTAAAAAACACTTCCCCCCATAAAGTGTGAAGTATTAATTGATAAGCCACAGGGAACTAACACTATAACATGTCCTTACCAATTAATAAAGCTGTTGGCTGGGTTTATGAGAACTGAATTATTCATCAGCATCTTTTCATATAATGTCACTGAAAGCTAAGACTTATGAGACATTAGAGCCCCTGCAGGATAATGATTTGCTTAGAAATTTTACTTGTAAACCAAACAACCACCTCAGTTTACTCCCTGAACACTGCATACTCAGTACTGGCAGTTTACTTGTAGCCCCATCATTTCTGGACAGGGAAGAACGTTCGTGAACACCCCAAATGGTCTACAGCAAGCTGAGACTCTGTAAGGTAGTGAAAATAAACTAGTTTAGGGGTCAGAAAATATAGATCTTAGTTCTACTTTTACTCCTGTAGTGGGCCCTCCACATCTACAGGTTCCACATCCACTGATTCAACACATTGCGGATCAAAAATATTTGGGAAAAATGCATCCATGCTGAACATGTACAGGTTTTTCTTATGATTTCTTAAACAATACAATATAACACAGCAGGTATACGTAATTGAAAGAGTGTAGTATTATAAGTGATCTAGAGATGGTTTTTTTTTCTAGAGATGATTTAAAGCATGAGAACTTGATTGAAGGCACAAGAACCCAACTTCTGACTGCACTGAGTGAAAATGAATTTCCTATCTAAATAACAAGAACACCTGCCTTGCAGGGTTTGGTGGCACACACCTGTAATTCCAGCACTCTGCGATGCTGCGGCAGAGGGAATGAAAGCTCAAGCCCAGCCTGGGCAGCTTAGTGACTTAGTGAGAACCTGTTTCAAAACAAAAACCAAGTCAGGCTGAAGTTGTAGATCAGAGTAGAGGCCCTGGATTCAATCCCCAGTACTGTAAAGAACAACCAAATCCCTCAAAAAAAACCCCAAAAGAACAAACCATAAAAAGCCATTTGTCTTCATAGGCACCCATGCATGTAGGCAGAGTGAAATACTATTATCAGTAGTGACTGAATTTTACTGATCAAGTCACACACGTGCACAAAACATCTGACACACACTGGTTTCCATTCGACTGTGTGTGACGGACACAGAAGGTAAAGTGAGCACTGCACTGCGCCCTCCCCTACACGGCCTGGCACTTCAGCACCAGTCATGTCACATAATAATGTTCACAGTCTGTGATCGTGGGGGGCTGAGTTACTAGCTGTCCAGGGGAGCATGAGGCCCAAGGGCTGGGTGTTGGACACCTGTAAGGTATATGGGAGGATGACATCAGTGATTGTGGAAGACCACTGGGAATGTTCCCCTTGAAAGAAGACAAGTTGCCTCCATTTTGGTTCACCTTTGCCCAACTCCCACATGCTAATATGCACAGAACTGGCTAGGAGAATGCTGAACGCCCCCTGACTGGCTTTACGCAAGGCAGATGGGTCTAGTTGAGGCGCCACTGATCTGTAGCCTTTGAGGCAAAGCGATAGGTCTGTGTGCCCCACCTATAGCTTCCTCCTACCGAGTGTGAGGTAGGCCGAGAGACACTGTGTTGTCAGCTGAGATGGAGCTTTGAGAAAGAGGCAGTGATGTCCCAGGGCAATTAAGGCCAGCACCAGAGCTAAGGCAGCCAACCCAAAACACAAGATACTTCCTCAAACTGTGTTACATGGATTCCTCCAAACTTCAAGGATACCTGTTAGCAGAATCCATACTTTCTTTATACTTCTCTCTGTACACTGCAGACGTGCCATTGTGCACCCTACCTTGCCATTCTCACAGTCACTTTACCCCAGCTACTCCCCTTTTCACCAACTATTAAAACCGGGTTTGGCCCTGGGTCGAGGCCTTTGTTCCACCTGGACTTCAGACTCCCTTGGCTTCCTGTAACTGCAGATATGTCTCTGTCTCTTTTCTTGCCGTGGGTTGCAGTGCAAGTGGTAGACTGGAATTTGCTCATGACAGTTCCAGTAACTTTTCCCTGGGATTACAATTTATAAGCTCTGGACCGCCATGAGGTTGGGGTGCTTATAAGAGATAAATACTAACCATTTCATATGAAGGACTTGAGCACCCAAGGATTTGGGTATTTGCTGGGGATCTTGGAACCAATTCCAAGGACACCGAGGGAAGACCAAAACTAGTACTTTGGCTAGGTACTTTACCTCTCTAAGGATAGGTTCTTGGAATTCTAAAATGAGCGCTTGGATCAGTACAGGGTTATGATTTCTTCCAGTTATGAAAGGTCATTCGGACTCTGTTTGGTTAGAAAGTATAAAGATAAAGCTTGTCTATTTTGGTGCAGGATAGAAATAAAAACAAAGAAAATATGATTTGCAATATTCAGATAAATAATGTATAGTCCCTCCCACCCCAGGTTCCCTTCCTATCAGGCTTAGCAGATGAAATTTTGAGCACTTAAGTCAGTTGCAGTTTGTGACTGGAACAATTATGTTCTGGAGGGGTAGCCAATCCAGAGGAAAGAGGCGGCTTCCTCTCATCTCATGTAAACTACACAACAGAGTTGGTACCGGGTACAATGCAAGAATTGCTAATCACTACTCATTTGGGGTGTCTTTGAACTGAACTGGCCATTTAGGCAATATTTTTTACATGTTATTCTGTATTTTGTGTTAAAAGTAGAATTAACTTAGTTAAAAATTTCTACATCAGAAGTCTTATTACAGCAGGATTTTACACAGCAACGTCCTCAAACACAACAGCTGTGGCTAAGGCCAAACACTGCATACTTCTCCCCTTTCCCTTGTCTCCTCTCTAAACCAGCAAGCGCGGTGGTTATTTAGCACCCGGGTCATGGCCTGCTGGTCTCCTCAGTGGCTGGCTTTCAACCACCTTCCAGAATTCTGCCTTCTTTTTATTTCACTTTTACTTATGTAGGAAGAATGTGTTAATGGAACAAAGCCTCGCTTTCACAAGATCTCTTCTCTTTCACAAGTTTCATTTTTGCTGCCAAGTGAGTAGGGTGGTTAGAAAGGAAGAAGGTTCAAAGGTCACTGAAGTTGGGTGGTAAATTCGTGGGTTTCCTTACATTCCAAGTTTCACAACTGGAAAGAAGGGTCTTACAAGACTCCACGGAGTCCTAGAATCCTCCTCCAGGACTGAAGTGAGTAAATGCAGAGCCATAAACTTGCTAAAAGACGAGAAAGGTGTTGGGGGAGGGGTGTGCGCCGCGCACATGCGTGCAGACAGCAGAAATAAATGCTTTCTCTCTGTCCTTCCCTTTGCCTTCCCACTTGGACTAGGGGGCCAGAACAAGGCAAAGAAAATACATATCTAGCTGACAATGGAGTTACAATTTCAAGTGAGGAAAAAGTGAGAGGGGCCTGGAAGAAGCAGAGAATAATCAAGGTAAAATGTTACTCTTGATCTTTTGGGGGAGTATTACCTTCGCACTGCAGCGTCCTGCATGCATAGTGGAATATACGTCTGAGAGCCTCCATTGAGTAACTTAGTTTAAAAAATATCTATCATTCATAGAAAGAAAACAGGTACTGGCAAAATGCTGCCTTGTCAAATACATTAGAGTTTATACAGAACTGGGTATTTTACACCCTAAACTGAGACACAAGGATACAACTCGGAAATCACGCATAAAGTTTTAAAAGTTTCAGTGTTCTAAATTTTTCTTTTCCCACAAGAGTCATTTAATAAAATCTAACCCTGGTAAATAACAGTCAGTGCTGGGCTTTACAGCTCCGGCTGCCATGTATAGGTTGAAGACACACATGCTGTGTGGTTATCATTTCTCTTTTAGCAAAGTCCTAAATCAGTGGAATTACACTCTTCACACAATAATTAGTGTGACTCTATCCACATTCAGTCACCCTTGCTACAATGATTTAAGGGCTTTGCAGATGAAATTGTATTCACAGAGACAAGGGCAAGTCGAGATGTAGACACAGCACCTGCATTCTGAAGTCTCTGGAAAGCACTCATCACCAGGACAAGGAGGCCAGTAGCTTCTGACCTGATTAAAAATACAGACTCCTAAGAAATGGCTTTATTAGAAAAACATGTAGTGTACACGGGGCTAATTTCTATTATCAGTATGTCACTTGGCTATTTTATAATTAAAATCCGATATAATATAAGGTTTAAACTTCCTTAGAAGTTAGTGGTATTTCTTCCTATTCTGTCATGTGACTTCAGGAGTTATCTTCATGTGAAAGATGCCCTTTCTTTCTTTTCCTAAACACCACGACTCAGTAGTTTAGCACTGGCACAGCACACAGGGGATTACCTACAGTAGGAAGTGCCCCACGTGTAAGACATCGGACTTCCGGCCCCTGGAGTCAGGCACAGGTCCACCACTTGTAGAGTTTATAAATACCCTATTACCACGCAAGTAAGTCCTGCATTATTACTACTAGTAATTAAATTAATGCAATAATCTGAATTCAACAAAACCTCTGAATGAAGTTTCTTTCTTCTCCTTTTTTTCCTGTTAGATGTGCAACTCCGTGCAAATGTGCAGTGTGCAGTATTGATTTCTAGTCTCCTTTAAAACTCCTTCAGGTCTGTGCTATTAAACTGAGACAACCACATCAAGATAGAGTCTGTCATAGGACTCCCTGAAGCACAGAATGAGGAGGAGACTAAGCAAACACGACCCAGGAAGGCACCAGTTGAACCAAGACAATTCTGTAAGACAAAAATACAGTATGTAGTTTTAAGCATTCATGCAGCACCAGTGAACACCACCTGTATGCCCAGAGCAGTCTGCTCTGCAGTCAAAAGCACTTACAATAAATGCGCCATAGATTTATTGTGAGGATACTGGCTTTCAGGATACTGGCTTTCAATGAACAGTGACAACTGGGAACTAAGTGATGGGTGTAATATATTATGGGGCTTTCATGTGGCATATTTTAAATCAATATTGTTAATGACAGTTCATCAATTTAATCCATCTTTGATTGGAAAATCAATTTATTACTTCATGGAAAAAACTGATTGGCTTTAAGTGTTAGTTTGTTAATTGCTTTTTAAATGCCCTCTATCACTCTTGCTCTTACTTTGTTTAGGAATGTCTGATGGTTTAAAGAGACAAATAGGAAAATCACCTCAATTTCAAGATATCACCTTTATATTTTTTTGGATAGAAATTTCTGTTTCCCAGTAAAAATGTTCAGTAGTAATCATTGTAAATCAGAGAAAGTATATGGAAAAATAAAGTAAAACATAAAAAAAAAATTCTCATCAAAATTCCACCTCTAGAGAGACTATTATGCTTTGGGTTATTTCTTTCTAGTCTAGAGCACTACCGGCCCCGGGACCCTTGAGCTGAGCGGCTGCGACTGGCCAGCCCGCCCCTCCCTGCGCTCATCTGCCTGTCAGTCTTAAGGCTTTGAAGCAAGTAGGTCCTGAATTGAACTCAGGACCTCTGAAGCAAGGCTTTGTAGCTCCGTGAGGTTGGTGGTGGCTGGGGACAACTCTGCTGGCTTAACATCCACTTTATCAGTTCCTATGAGAACAAACAGGGAAACAAGTTTCTTTCTCTCTTTCTGGTCATTTCTGTAAGTTTATTTTTCCCCTTTGCCCCTCCACAGAATGCTAATACTCTCGTAATCTTCAAAAATCAACCTAAAGATTTCCACACTGCCACTTTAGTTTAATCCATAATTCATATGGTTTAAAAGAGCAATGTATGCCTAGGAATAGAAATTAGAAATTGAATGGTAAAGGCAGTGCAGTGCCTTTTCCCTACTGCTCATACAGCAGCTTCCTCACTTCTCAATTACTACATGTTAAAAGTCAGACATATTCTACAGCATGAAACAAACAAAGATGTATATACAAGTGGCATTTTCACAAAAGCTCTTTTCTGTGTTTCACTTGTATTGCATATAAATACTATGAAAAGCTGTGACCTCTGGAGCATTATCCTTTTTCTAATATTCCTTGAGACAACACACTGTGCATTTTCTGCCCTTGTATTTACTATGGAATCTGGATTTTTAGTGATAATTTTACAAGAGAATACAAAGCAGTTAAAAAAAAAAGTTAAGAAAATAAAGGTAAAATACAGACAAAAGCATGCTGTTTATATTAAAAGAGACTACTCTGGGTTGTGTTTTTTTTGTTTTTTTTTTGTACCAGCAATTGAACTCAGGACCTTGTGCTTATCAGGCAGGCACTGTGCCGCTGAGCTATGACCCAGCCCTTACTCTGGTTTTAAGTCTGCATTTCAAGCAACAGATAAAGTATGATATCTAACACCGTGGTCTACAGCAGCAACATTTAAAAATCTTAGTGCCTGCAATTTATGGAGCTAGAGCAACATACATGTAGCAATCATCAACTGTCCTTGCTTTCTTTAAACTGTGGAGCTTGTCAAATATTGCCAAAGTAGACTATTTCATCACAGTCGTAAAATTATTCTTTCTAACCAGGTTCAGATGAAATCTCTAAAAATGCCGCATAATTGCTCTTCAGAGTCACAGTTTGTTGATTGGTTTCTACTGGGTTCTTCTCTGAAAATCAAATCCACCTTTCAGCAAATTCACTTGGCTCAATCAGCTGCATGCATTTTTAAAATTATTTGACTTTTCAGAAAGCAGTAGGGCAGTGACAGGGGAACAGCCATTTTTTCCTTCTGAAAACCACTCACAGACACCAGCACTTAAGTGCTTTAAGCAGGAAATGCTTGCTTAAACATTTATGAAGTAGTTGTGAAGTCAACCACTGTTTTTTCTGAGCTCAAAGTCATGTGACATGAGTGAACTTACAAAATTCTGACCCGCTGGAATCCTATCCCTTTTACAGTTTCTAGCATCCTTTCCCTTTGCCTCTCACTGGAGGAAATACAAATCCACACTCGAAGCCAGGACTGCGCAGTTCAGCCCATACTTCTGGTTCTGTATCATCAGCTACACTGCGGTTGAGCCCTCTTTGCCAGTCTGCAGTTAGACAGGTGCCGAATTTTACTCAGTGCAGTGTGTTCTGCACCAGGTGATGCTGGGCTGGAACTGAGCTAACTGGGCCTTAGTTCATCCTTTTAGAAAGTTTTTCTTTCCAGAAGCACTGACTATAATACTGTCACCTTGACTTTGCATTCAGGGACTCCATGCTTTTGGTTTTGACTACCTATAAGTACTTGTCTGTTTCCAGCTACCACCCTCTAGACCAACCTACATTATCTTACAGTGATTTAACAAATTGTCCCTTTTCTCACTCAAGGTGAGCAGCCAGCTGATGCCAAGACTCCCCAGTTTGATGCCCTGTAAGTAGATATTAAACTCCACACTGCATTACTTTACTTCTTGGATGTAAAAGTGCCGCCTCAAATTCATGGCCAGCCACTTCAAAATCTTTGTGCTTGTAGACAAAACCTGCTGCAGATCTTACAAACACAAAATAACAGATAATGCAAACTTGTAAGTAGAAAACAGAATACATCTCAGAGCACATTAAGCACAGAACAGCATTCCCAAATTGATTTTGTATGTGATGTTATTAGAACAAAGCATCACTATGCTGTCTCCACTCAGATTCTCCAGGCTACACGGCAGGAAGCAACTAGTTTTACAAATAATGCTCACGTGAGGGAGTAAGGAACTTTGTTACTTTGAAGGTGACCTCAAAAAATCCACATTAGAAAAAACTCTAAGAAACTTCTGACATGGTTCCAGGTACACAAAGTAGAAATAAAACTTGATGTGGAGAAACAAGAAACAGAACATGGCTCAGGGCTCCACATGAGCCAGTGGCACAGAAGTCAATTCAGGTGCAGAAGCCTGAGTAACACTCGCCCCCAGTGGCGGCCCTAATCTTCAAGCAAATCACCAGCGGAGCCTATCTCACTGGGCAAGGCATTCTGATGTGGTCACTTTGGAGGCAGCTGGGAAGCCCTGAAGAATTACCTGATGGAGTCACCTACCAGATAGCACACTGTGGGTGGGGAAAACCCTAATCAGGAAGCTCAGCACTTCCTTCAGAAGTGCCCTAAAAACCACATGTGATGGCGGTTAGAAATCAGGGCTCCTTCTCTAGCGTCACCACAGCTCCTTGGGAGGCTGGTGCAGGAGGATCACTTGATCCTCAGGAGTTCAAGACCAGCCTGGGCAACACTGTAAGACGCTAACTCTAAAAAAACAACAGCAAAGAAACCCAGGCCTTCTTAAAAAAACAAACAGAAAAACCCAAACTTTCTAATCATATAAATAATGGCTGAGTTTTCACCTATGACAGTCAGTTTTTCAAGTTTGAAAGTTAACCAAATTATGACATTTAAACACTGGCTTTAATGGAAGAGAATTCAATTTGTTACATGAAGTGTTTAGTATCCCCGGCTCCAAAACTAGAAGTTGATCTTAGGAAATAATTTTACAGAATTTTCATATTTGCAATTTATGCCTTATCATACCACAGTGCATAAAGAGTTGGGTATCTGCTGCAGGGTGTTTAGGGCACATTTCATAATTCTAGGAACCTTAGTCTTTGAGAGATAAAGGGTGTGTGTGTATCAGATACACACAAATACATAAAAACATTTCTTTGAAATCTAAACTAGATCTTTAAAAATCTGACATCAATCAGTTGCTGTACTTATCTACAAGAAAACCAAACAAACGAAGCTTGGGAGTGCCAGCTGTGCCTTTAACATAGATGGTCTTTTCCCCTCGCCAATGCTCCCTGCCATTGTGATGCCTTGTGCCACACAGGGTCCTCACTAGAGCTGAGCTGATGCAGGCACTGTGTGGACAAAAACCTTTTAATATCTAAAACTGAGCCAAAGGAACCTCTTTTCTTTAGAAAGTACTCAGCTACAGGTATTTTGCTACAGTAATGGAAAACCAATACAAATACTTTAGGGTGGTTATTCATGTATTCCCTGCTTTAAACAGATGAATAAATGTGCTTTTTATATACTAGAGACCACAAGCAAGATATCTGTTCGGGGATAACATTATCTGGCATCTCCTGGTGTTTTTAAATACTGTGAGGATAAAACTCCTTGTAGCTGGCAGGGAAAACCATGTTCTGCTAGGCTGCACAGATCACTTAACAAATCTGCACCCCTCAGCTGGAAAATTGTTTCTACCATGCTACGGGGCATCACAGCCATCTCTGAGGCGTTACCAGGAAAAGAGAGGCGGTAAGCCTCTTAATTTCCATTTTGACACAACTGAAGTGAACTAGAGCTGCTCTGTAATAACTGTTGTAACAGTCTGTTTAGAAAACAAATTGGAAGCAAAGGCTTTACTCTAACACCTGGCGGTAGCACTTCTCCTTAATGTGCTTCCACTCCCTGCCTGAGTGCTGTGCTCCTTCAAGGACCAGCCAAACTCACAGCAGGGCAGACGCAGCCAGGACCTGCTTTACCTGCGCTACTTATTGACGCAGACAATCTAGTTTGCTGCTAATTATATTAAGAAACTAATTGGTCATGTGAATGACACTTTTTGTAGTTAAAAGAAAGCCCTATGCCTGAAGTTGTCCAAAACTCAGGGATGGCTTTTGTTTCATTGCTTTGAAAGTTTTGAAAATTTATTTTTGGTCAAGGAGGTTCACACAGTTATTTTAGTAAGCCTGCCAGAAAGTTCTCTGTAAACAACACGGCTCTTCAGAGTGTTGTATTACAGTATTTCTTACATCGAGGGACCTTCTCTTATTCATCTCTATGGCCTTAAACTACACATACACTGCTGGCATCATTAACTTACACTCTCTGCTATGACAGAAGACCCGAAATAGTTTAAAAAATTCATCTAAATATCAGAATCACCTGGCTAAAGAATGGGTTTGGCAGAGGTTTTTAAAAACGCAAATGCTGGGTCCCAGCTCAGGCTGATTCAAAGCCTTTGGGAGTGCGGCTGCATGCGGGCTGGAATGCGTTTCGAGAGAAACTGTGAATACTGTTTCCACTGATGTTCGAACACTCACATAAAGTAATTTGCTTTAGTGAGAATTCTCCATATAAATTCCCTATACATCAATACAACAAATTTCTCTTAGAACACATTTAGATAGTTAAAACGTCAAATTTCTTACCTGTATGATAAAATGTGAGAAAAAATAAAAGTACTCCCATGAACATATTACTTAAAAAAGTGACAACTCCACAAGTAATTCCTTCTGGAACTGGGTAGACAGTCTCCACAAAAAGCTCAAAAAATATAGGTACACTGCTATTCAAGAACACTCCCAGGAGTATACAGGAGGCGTATAATGTCACTGAAATGAAAACACAAACGTTTTAGTTCCGCAGCAGCAGCTACTCACAGCAGACAGCTCTTCTGGGTGTTCTCTTTCGTAAGTACCAACTCTAGGATTTCATCTCTTTTCAATGGCAGTTGATAGTTTGACAAACATCATACAACTGTCAGCTCTTTGCGCAGACTCTGAAGTATGAAAAGGTTTGCCGTTGAGTGATTACCAGTTTATTTTGTGTTACCTTTCTGGTGGATTATTCCAAAGCACAAAAACAATTTGTCACTACAATCTAATTAAAAGGAATCTTCTTGCTTGGTCATGTTCTTGGCCAGTGGGGAATGACAAAATGCAGTAACTTACTTCAAAATTGAGATTCACTTTATGATTTTTAAAGAGAACTTAACATCTAAGAATAAACAAAAGAAACATTAAATATTATTGAAAATTACATATTTAAAGAAATTAGTTCATAATAACTTGGAAGTATAAAATAAGTATCATTCATTATGGAGTTCCTAGAGAAATTCTTACAATAGAATTAGTCCTCGATTTTAGAATGAATTCTATGCCAACAGTTTCTTTTTAAATAAAGAACTTTTTCACCCAGAAAAATATAAATGAGTAGTGGTTAGAATCCCAGATTGCTTCATTGAAAAGTCTGTAAGTAAAATCTATTATGGATGTTATTTTTATTCTTATAAAAGCACTAATTTTATTTATTTATTTATTTATTTATTTATTTATTTATTTAGTCTTTTTGAGACAGGGTCTCACTATGCAGTTCAGGCTGGCCTTGAGCTTGCTTTGTAGCCCAGGCTGGTCTCGAACTCACAACAGTCCTCCCGCCTCAGCCTTCCAAGTGCTGGGGTTACAGGCATGTGCTACCACATCCCGCACCTTCACTAATTTTAACTTGAAAGTGAAGACAGAACCAATGAGGGAGATGATATTCTATTCAGAAACATAAAACACATACCTATCCCCTAATAAACCTATTATACTCACTCACAATAATGAGTAGACTTTACAATTAAGGTTACAAGGAAAATATTTGTTTTTCTTCTGGTCCATGGATTAAACTGAGGGCCTTGTGTACAGGCAAGTGCTTTACCACTCAGCCACACCTGCAGCCTTGGAGAATATTTTTAATAAAAACATTTGCTAGGAAAACACTTCCATTTTAGAATTGCAGAGAGTAAGAGAATTATATTAAATCTGTCATGTATTATTCATAGATTCACAGAACACATCAAATCTCTGGAATTTACCATGACTGACTACAGCCATGATATTCCTATCCATGACATTGTCAAAGGGGTAAAAACAAATAAGTGCTCAACTGATTTCTAACAGCATTTCTCTGACCTCACTGCTGCTTCCCTCCAATTACACTGGCCTTCCAGGATTATAAAATATTTGGTATATTCTAATAATGCAAGTAGTTGGTAATTACCTTCACTTCTTTTTCTTTGAATAGCAGATAGGTCTCAAAACAGAGAAGAAAAAAGAATGACTTAGCAAATAAAGAACAGCCAGTGACCAAATTACAGAATCACATGAAGGTGTCAGATAGTTACAATGAAAACCATTCAACATAACACAATTTTGAAGAGGGTTTTTTCCTTTGTTTGTTTGTTTTTTGCCTGTCAGGACTGGGGACTGAATCCACGGCCTTTAGACTAAGCTACCTCCCTAGTGTTGCTTTTTTTTTTCCGAGACAGGGTCCCAATAAGTCACTAAGTTGCGCATGGTGGGCTAGAGCAGTGGTGACGAATCTATGGAACGCATGCTGCAGGAGGCTGTTTGTATCACTGAAAGCTCTAAAAGGTTGCCATCACTGGGCTAGAATTTTCAGTCTTCCTGCCTCAGCTTCCCATGGTGCCGGGATTATTAGCCTGTGCCACCACAGGCTCAAGACATTTTTAAAAACCCAACACTTCACACTTACTAATATTTGCTGGTTGTTGACTATATAAGTCAATGTACTCTAACATGTGACTCATTAGTGGGACACTACAAAATCTAGGGAAGGACAATCACTGACGGCTTATATTGAGTGTTCTATTTCCAACACACTTTAGAGTAATTTATTGATCAGCCGGTAGTGATCAGGGCAGAGAGGACTATTGACCTAAACACAGATGAGCCCAGGAATTTAAAACAAGGTAAGTACTGAAATAAGTAACAAGCAAAGCCAAGCTCTTAAACCAGCAAGTGCTACTTCTGAGTACAGACTCCTAAATTACCAATGGAATTAAGTATTTTTAGGACACATGGTTAGAAGTAATCCTTTTTGTTTTTATTTTGGAAGGAACTATACTTTTATATGTAATTGTAATGAAGAAAACTGAAATGTAATAATTTTAAAAATATACGATTAAGTCATCTGTATAGAATTATATGTGATAAATGAATGAATGAAAATATGATGATAAAGACATGCTGAAAGGGGCTATTGGTAGGGCCTTGAAAGAGTGAACTGTACTGAGTACTGATTTTTATTACGCTTGTTTAAAAAACAGATGTACAAACTTAAATACTGTATACTTACTCTCATTAGAGAAAGGCAAAGTACAAACAAAAAGCACAATAGAGGATGAACAGAAGGAGAGGGGATGGATCTCTTGCATATGGGAAACGGTCCAGGAGATCGAGGGCAAGGCGAGAGGGAGAGGGGAAGGGGAAATCAGTAGAATAAAGACATGCCAGGTACAGGAACCTGACAACCTGAATGAATGTGAACACTGTGTGCCATGAACATGGGAGAGGATTAATAATAAGAATGAAAATGGGGAAAGGGGATTTAGAGGAGGAGGGAGGGGGTGGAAGGGAAGGGGATGAAAAAATCAATCTCCATTATGTACTTGTACCCATTTCCCAAGATGGTCATAAACTGCATTTACTGCAAACATGTACTCTTTCTTTTTTTTAAAAAAGAGGCCTGGGCTGGTCTAAGAGCAGCACCTGGTGAGTCAGGTCAGTCTGAAAATCCCTGGGGCTGTGTAGCCACCTGAGCTCTCATTTCATGCTCATTAGGAATCTTCCAGGCTCGGGTTCCTTGTGTGTAACATTCTCGGACCTGGAGGGGCATAAATAATGGGCACTGGAAAGGTAAGATTTCTACTGTAGTTAAAATTGTTGAAGGAGGGGCTGGGGATTTAGCTCAGCGGCAAAAGCGCCTGCCTGGCAAGCGCAAGGTCGTGAGTTCGGTTCCTGGTACCGGAGAAAAAAACCAAAAAAATTGTTGAAGGAAATGTAAATAGTTCATCTTCTGGTGGGTAGTTTGGAAAAGTCCATCAAAACAAATGTGTTTTGTCTGACTCCACAATTTCATTTGTGGGAAATTATCTTATGGCTATCTGAATACAGGTATACAAGGAACACACACTCAAATGTTGTTTGTAGCATGAAAAGATTAAAAACAATGTCAATGTCCACCAACAGGGAGTTCACTGTTCAAATGATTCTTAAGATATTCAAGGTATGTTATGCAATCATTAAAAATGAGAAAACTATACCAACAGTAATGATATCTAAAATAAGTGAAAAAGGTGCTAAAAAGTATGTTATATTTTCAAAAAAGGTACCTACACTTTATGGTACTTGTGAATGTACATATTTATTTAGGACAGTGCAGAAAAAACAGGCAATCAGGGTTGTTTCTAGAGGGAAGTTTCAGGCCACAGAAGAATAAAACCTGTCACTCTACTTTTTTTCCCTATTTGAATGTGACTTTTTACTATGTGTCTATCTCACCTGATTAACAAAATGATAGGAGATATTTCATAGTAAACTAATGCATCGACAGCTGACCTAACTACTTCACATATCTGTTATGCTTACTGCTTCTGAGACGTGCCACCAGTGAGCTGACCCAAGAGCTGCTGTCTATACCTGGCAGCCTTAAAACCCAGACTTGGTGCAGAAGCCTTGATATAAACATTTCTATTTCATTTATTAGAATCCTATAATACATACAGTGAATGAACTATTTTATATGGGATAATTAGGATAAATGGATGATACGACTCCAGACTAGTAAGGTATTGCCAGGTACAATGGCGAATACCTGGAGTCCCAATTACTTAGGAGGCTGAGAAAGGAGGATTAAAATTTGAAGGCAGCCTGGACAACTTGGTGAGACCCTGTCTCACAATAAAAAATAAAAAATAGAAAATAAAAAGGACTGGCGATTACAGCTTAGTGGTACAGCACTTGTCCCACATGGCTGAGGCCCTGGGTTCTATCCTCAGTACGAAAAAGATAATTCATTCAGCTTTCAATGTCAAAGTTTGCTTGTTCTATCACTATAAAAAGTGATGACCAGGAACATTTTTTGAAACACTGGATGGATATGCTGGCATCACTCATTATTGCAGAAACCAAAAAATCAAAATCACTTACACAGAAAAGGGTTACATGAAGATCTTCCTGATCAGAATGGGAGAAACACAGCTGTATCAGGACTGATTTAATACATTCCCTGGTGCACTAAGCCTTGAATAAAGTAGAAGCTGACTGTTACAAGTCTGAATTTGACTTCCATTTGAAGTTTTAGTTTCGAGTCTGATATATCCAGTGGGTGAATGTCATCTATTGAAAGTCAGGCAGACAAGATAATTTCCTGCTTGTCAGAGGTTCAAGCTACATGATCATTAAATATTTCTATGACTTTCAGTAATACTAAAATTAAAAGAACTGCCTTTCAATTAAAAAGTCAAGGTAATTTAGCAGAATAAATACAATGGAAATGCAGATGCACTTTTTAGGGAAAGAAGCCAATAAAATTTCATGGGTTTACAATTTAAATTGCAAAAAATAAAGTCCCGTGTAGCACAAAATAGTTTCAATGGATGTATTTCAAGCACGTGAACTGGCTCATAACCCTGAAAGGACCCAATTCTATGACCAAATTATTAAACTTTAGGGAAAGAATCTATATGAATACAATTTGTTAACTAAAACATCTTAGGTGATCCACAATTATAAAACAAATCACAAAATTTCAGATAATACTATCT